TATCAAAAAACCCCCATATATAAATTTTCATTCAAATACTGGCGTTACTTCAACAATTATTTAGAAAAAATCGAAATAAAATTGAAACTTTTACACCCTGTATGTCCGAAACTAAGCAATTTAGGACATACATTTATACGAAGTTTTTTTTACTTTTTTTTATCTGCAGAATATACCACCAAAGTTTCCGGAATACAGTTCGGACCACCCTGTATTATATTAAACTTTAAATTACATCAAAATTTTAAGGTATCCGTTTTTTGTGCCGGTGAGTGTATATATATTTTCTAAAATTTGTTAACTTATTTGCAATTTAGTGTGAAAATATTTTGTTTTATACACTAAAACCGATAAGGCGCCCCCGATTCTCACTATAACGAAATAAACTATAACGTACTATCACCGTCACGTCGAGGGACCGTCTCCACAGAAAACATGAAATAAAGGCTAAGTTAGTTCATGCTAATTTTAGTCTAAAACTCTTAAGCATATCGCGCACTTATGGGAAGCCCGGCGCGGCGCAGCGGCAGCGCGGCGAATGTTTGCTAGGTCCGCTAGCTTATGCACGGTTTTGCGTACGCGGTTGGTATTTAAAGTTTAAAGTGGTATTGAACTGACCCTTTCAATTTTAGTATTATCTCTGTGACGGTTTGATATAAAGGTGTATTAAAACTTCATTATGTCCTCAAGTTCCAGAAGCAGTTCAGAGGGAGATTTTCTTAATTTATGTACAATAACTAAAGAAAAAGAAATGCGTGAGAACAAAAAGAGAAAATCTTGGATTCATAACATAAAAAGAAATGCTTACGGAGAATACACCTTCATTCAGATTTGAGGAAGACGAAAGCTGGAAGGCATAGAATGACCCACGAAAAATTTGCTGAACTTCTTTCTTTGTTAAGACCAATTATAGAGTGTAAAAAATCTAGATTTCGCTGCCCAATTGGCGTTAACAAAAGACTTTTAGTTTGTCTCAAGCAAGTTTTTAATAATGTCTAAATAAAACTAATAGAGAATAATTTATATTATTTTATGTAATGCATCTTTTCTTAAATGGGTAAATCTTTTCGTTATTCTAAATTAAGTAGTCCGTATACATAGGTAGAAAATATTTTATTTTATTTATGTTCTAAAAATAGCAATAATAGCTTATTTTCTTCACAAATATTGTCTCATCTCAATTGGCTGTGATAATTTGGGTCCCCAACATCATATAACTCTTTGTAGCTCTGTATAATCAAAATGAATGTTTCATCATCAATGATCTCAATAATTAAAGTACAACAAATTCAAACAAAATATACCGGTTCTTGACTAAACACAAAATAAAATGTTTCCTTTATATTTTGTAATACTGAAAAAAATGATCTTGTCTTTTATTAAATCTGGAAAAAGATGGTCAAATTCTCCAAACTTCTTTCTTTTTTTGTTAATCGTATGAGTCCAACTTTTCCTCACCCCCTCTTCCTCTTCCTCTGTTAGAAGAGCACAAAAAATACGCTTTCGTCTGTACTTGAACTTATTGCTTTAAAAACTAAACTACAGTAAGTAAAAAACACTTCGACTATAACTAAATAGCGTTGCCGCGTTTCAAAAGCGCGCTATAGTGGGCGCAGTCTCTTCGCAGCCGGAAAAAATTCTCTTCCCAGCGTCGCGCCGCGCCGCGGTCTAGTGGGCGACAACCTCTAGAATCCAAAGCGAAGAAATTCTCTTCGGCGCGCTTCGCATACCCTAGTGAAACTTTCTTTGTTTCTCTCATTTTCGGAATTATTTTCGGTGTCTTCGGATTAATGATTCCACGATTAATGTATTACTAATTGGCATTTCGGTTGTGTTTAGTCAAGAACCGGTTTATTTTGTTTGAATTTGTTTCTTGTAATTTAATTATTGAGATCATGGATGATGAAACATTCATTTTGATTATATAGAGCTACAAAGAGTTATATGATGTTGGGAACCCAAATTATCACAACCAATTGAGATCAGACAATATCTGTGAAGAAAATAAGCTATTATTGTTATTTTTAGATCATAAATAAAATAAAATATTTTCTACCAATGTACGGACTACTTAATTTAGAATAACGAAAAAATCTACCCATTTAAGAAAAGATGCATTACATACAATAATATAAATTATTCTCTATTAGTTTTATTTAGACATTATTAAAAACTTGCTTGAGACAAACTGAAAGTTTTTTGTTAACGCCAATTGGGCAGCGAAATCTAGATTTTTGACACTCTATAGTTGGTCTTGATAAAGAAAGAAGTTCGGCAAATTTTTGGTAGGTCATTCTATAATACTTGAAAAATTTTCTTTCGTCTTCCAGCTTTGGTCTTTCTCAAATCTGAATGAAGGTGTATTCTCCGCACGCATTTCTTTTTATATTAATGTTATGAATCCAAGATTTTCTCTTTTTGTTCTCACGCATTTCTTTTTCTTTAGTTATTGTACATAAAATAAGAAAACCTCTCTGGACATAATGAAGTTTTAATACAACTTTATGTCAAACCGTCATAGAGATAATACTAAAATTGAAAGGGTCAGCTCAAAACCACTTTAAACTTTAAATACCAACCGCGTACGAAAAACCGTGCATAAGCTAGCGGGCCCAACAAAAATTCGCCGCGCTTCGCATAAATGCGCGATATGCTTTAAGAGTCCATTTCACTAGTCCGAAAAAGTAGCAAAATAAGCGTTTGGCATTTAACGTTTTATGCAAAACTGGCCAGGTATTTTTACACAAATGAAGAAGGAAATTAAAGATAAAGGATTATACCATATAGTACATTATTATTATACCATGTAGTACATTTTTAAACAACTTCTTTATTTTTAAGATTTTGATGGTCAAACGTCAACAAAATATTCCTTATGTTTGGACTAAATTTTCTCGAAAATAAAGACATAATTTAAATTTCCGTTACAATAGATTGACGTAGAAAGAAATAGATTGACGTTTTGTGATTACAGTAATATATAATTTATATGGTTTTGTAACAAATTGCTCGCTATTTTATGGCAAATGCTGAAGCTCTGCAAACCTTAATCAAGCCTTACTCAAAGCACGTGTGTTTGGATTTTGGGTGTGGCTTAACACGACAGGATTGGGCTAAGCCTTAGGCGGATTTCTGAAATATAATATATATCTCCTACGGGCCACACACCCGCTTTAACCGACCCTTGAGAGCGACCCGAAAGTACAGCGTAATAGACTCTAAAATCTAATGACTTACATGTCGTCAGGTAAATTTTTTGTGATTGTAGCCTCCGTCCCTTCGCCAAATTTGTAATATCCAAAAAATCCTATCGAAGCGTACAGACTTATGATAACCATCATTGCAGAGTTCAGTACTCCATGGCAACCCAAAAATTTCGGTTTTACCATCGAATTTTCCACTGGCATAATCGTTCCAATTCCTTCCATGGAAAAAAGTACCGTACTGAAGAACGAAGGTATTCCTATCAATAAATAAATAAAATATAATTAAAGTCAGGTAATATAACATAATAAAAGCATCATTAAGATACGCGTGTGAAAGTTGCACGAGTGCGTAGCACGAGTTGTGTAACCACACAAGTATCATAATGGAGTTAACTCGCGTGTATTGTACAATATTTTATCTACGTCTAACTATAAAAACACACAATGCATTTTAAAAATTATTGTACTTAACTATATATCTATCCTAAAAATCAATTACCTTAATACCACCTTTGTTCAAATAACACCATGCATGGCAATGTCAATATGACAGTAAATAATATTGATGTGGCTAGTTTAAAAAATGAGCGATTCGGAAAGTATTCCCTCTGACATTGAAGAAGAGGCATTCAGAGCCATTTCTGGATTGCTTCCAGCAAGATCGAAACAGAAGTATGAATATACATACTCTATGGTGCACCGAAAAAAAAGTACACCAACTATGGAAATGAAAAGGTACTCATAACATATTTTTCCAATTTAGTGCAAAATAAATGTTTTACATCTCTTTGGTAGTCATCTAAACAAGGAGTGCGGTAATGAAAATGTGTGAGTTAAAAACTTTTTAACTCACTGACATGACGTAGATAAAACAATGAATAATTTTTTATATAAATTGTCTCAGATTTGTACCAACATGGTTTTTGATCATGCATTTAATTTATTAATAAAGGTAATAATATTTATTTATATCATATATAAGGATTTAATTTTGATCCAAAATAAAGTGGTAAAAAGTGTGGTAAATATTTGCGGTTTATACCGTGCTGGCAATTGTTATTTTTGGATCGGCATTTACATGTGTGGAAGTAAATCGCATAGGGATCTTATTAAGTCGGAGTGAGAGAAATGCGACCGACTGACGCGACGTGCGACTGTGTGCTGTTGCGGCGTTGCCGATACGCCTTTCTCTATCAAGTAAAGTAAAATCGCGATCGCAAACCGCTTATTTTTAAAAGACTTTTTTTTCAAGAGATAACTAGATAAAATCATTATACATGTTTCTGAGCATCTGAAATGGAATTATAAGGATATCGTTAGGGTGTCATTTTTTTTATAACGAGAAAACGTCAGTAATCGCGATAATTTAAAAACTCAACTTTTTAATAAATCAAGAACCACTTTAGATATTGACTTTTTTTTTATTTTCAAGATCGGATATTTGTAAACAATGCATCCATTTACTTTTAGAGCATAGCAATTTTCAGCAATCGTGTAATTTTTTTATTGATAAAGATTTTCACATACTGTCTACAAAGAAAATACAGCAGAAATATTAACAAAGTCCTTGAACAAACTACAATCTATTATTTCTAATAGATTTTGAGATATCGATTTTTGAATTCAGAGTTCTAATAGCGCGACTACTATCAAACACCCACTCAGTTCCACTTATTTTTACCAAAAATGCAAGTGTTTCTAGCTTGCTTTTAAAAAAATTTAAGCTATAGGAAAAATTACAACGACTCGTTAATAAATAAACAAATCAAGTATCACGAGACGTAATTAAAACTCTCCCTAGAACTTTAAGTACTGACAGAGGTATAAGCTTTGTTCGGGTTCTTGTTATTACCGATTCTGAACCGTCCTAGAACTGTGATGCGTATGCGCAGAAAGAAATATGAAAACATTATTTCATTTGCTCATGCGCTGCAGAGTTCTGGGACGGTTCAGAATCGGTAATAACAAGAACCCGAACAAAGATATTGATTGGGTCGACCGGTCAACTGCGACTAATCTGCTATATCCCCTTCCACGTCCTTCCACGTCTCTTAGCGATGTGCACAGTTTCTCGGTTTATTTCATACGTTTGGCAACGTGTTTACTGTCTTCTCTTTTCAGTTCAGTACATTATAAACCCATTGTACTCTTCATATATACGGAAATCTCGACCCAAGACTAATCTTTGCCAGCCCTTAGTAGGTACAGTACATCTGCTGGTTCTGTGTCTATGAAAGGAATGCGGACAAAAAACATTTAAATAAACAGCAATATATTTTATACGTCGATTTGACAAGTGCGTCACCGCAAATCGCTCCGCCCACTCATTTTATTGGCTACTTGCAAATTGTTGAATTTTTATTGATGGGACGCGTCGTCTATTTTTTACGAAAAACATTGAGAGAATATCGTTTCCCCTCTCACGGATTCCTCGTACTGCCCGTCAAATTAAATACCACAGCGATTTTTTTACTCATTTTCAACGAGTTGTAAGATCGTTTTTCGTAGATTTTTCTATATTTTAAAGATTTTGAGATTTAGTTTTCTATGATATACAGGGTGTGAAAAAAAAATGTAATTATGTGTTAAGTTGTTTTGCCAAAAAAATTAACTAAATTATAAGTATTCTGGGTATGCTAAGACTAATATCTCGGGACGTATTTGGAATTTTTACGATAACTCATCTGGAATAAAAGATAATCAATTTTTACTCTAACTTGTATTTTTTCTACCTTTCTTAAGAGATATGCTAACAAAACTGAAATTAGCTTTAAAATTGTAGGATATTCGCTACACTTACAATGTGAAATTAAAAAAAAAATGATTTAACTAACGCAGTTTAATACAGGATCTCTTAAAAATACGACCAGCGAAAAAGTAAAATTATTTTTTTAACCTTATGGGCTGTTAAGTTCAGAATATTATCCCAATACGTCCCGAGATATTAGTCTTAGCTATACCCAGAATACTTAATAATTCTTAGTTAATTTTTTTAAATCAACAAAATCGATCCATTTTTTTCAAAATTACAACTCGTTGAATATGAGTAAAAAAATTGCTGTGGTATTTAATTTCACGGGCAGTTTAGTTTAAGTTAAATGGTACCATATCAAGATCTAGCTAAGGAAACTGCAGGTCGCACAACGCTCAATGGAACAAAATATGCTCTGAATAACCAAAGAAGACTGTAAAAGAATAGAGTGGATACGACAAAAGACCCAGGTAACAAATGTCATCCACAGAGTCAAATCCCTCAAATGGCAATGGGCAGGACAGCTGGCAAGAAGAATGAACAACAGATGAACCACAAAAATACAGCATGGTACCCACGAGGAATTAATAAGAGACCTAGAAGAAGACCAAACCTGAGATGGGACCATGATATTAGGAAATTATTGGCCCACTACAAAGAGAGTATCTAAATATGTGAGGGAGGCTAGACCATAATTGGGAATGGTTGAATAAGCTGCTAATGATGATGAAAAGGTTTCTATTGTAATCGCAAAACATTTTCCGATGCACGTCATCAATCATATAGACATTGACACTAAAGTCTATAAACCTGACTAAATGAAATTTTGGCAAAAATGTTTAAATTTGTTGTATATTATAAGATACTGAGCAGCTCTTCATTTGACTTTGGAGCAAATGATTGTAACAGATATTTTATTGAGATTTCGAAAGCTGGAAAATTAGTTTAAACTGAATTTTATTATCGCTATATTGGTCATATTGCGCCATTTTCAGCAAGGTTGTCGTTTATTTTTAGGAAAAACATTGAAAGAATATCGTTTCCCCCTCTCACGGATTCTCATGCTGCCGTCAATTAAATACCACAGCTGATTTTTACTCATTTCAACTTGGTTGTAGGGTCCGTTATTTAACAATTATCCTACTGTCAGTCATTGTTTTGTGTAATATCGTCTTGTTGTTGAATCTTAGTGAGTAATTCTCGCTTTTTTTTTGCCTATTTTCATAATCTTTTTTTTAAAATTGTACTTTAAAGCACCAACAGTTCTTTTAAAAACTAAATTTTAAAGTTTTTGTGATTTGCATTTCTTGAAATTGTGGTTGAAAAATATGCCGAAGCATTTAAAAGTCGAAGCAAAGAGCTTGTAGCTTCCCTGATAAACTATTTTGAACGAGAACGTGACAATAAAGGTCCTTTATTACCCTTTGACTGCAGTCAGAGAAGTAAGTTTGATTGATAAGCACAGTACACCACTTTCCAAGTTATTTCTACGAAAGTTTTTATTAAATTTTGTGATTATAGTTTGTGCACTTACAATGCACCCTCTTACTTGTTATTACCACTTATGGCGTTGTAAGATGTACATCAATAAATAAATAGATAACCCATAATAACGCTTAGAATAATCTTCATAATGGACTAGTTTTTTAGAATATTATCTAATGCGTCCAGGATATTAGTCTGCGCTATACCCAGAATGCTTAATAGTGCTTAGTTTTCCAATATGTATTATAAGTAAAATAAGCTATAAACAAATAAATCAATTAATTTCTAAAATATTAATTATTAAATTAAAAATAAAAGGTAAAACTCTTTAAAAAAATATATTGTTTGTCAATTTCAAATTAAGATTCACCTCATAATCCATCAAGAATCTGGCAGCGCTGTCTGCATCGCCTGTCACTCAAAGTTGATCACGTGCATCGGAAATTGTTTTGCGATTACTGTAAAGGGTCCGGCAGAGTGGATCGGGCATTTGCAGCCCTAGAATAAACTCTTGAGAATTTTGTTGAGTGCAAATCCTCAAATGTAGCCAGGATGTATTTCAGAAAAATATTTTAACTCTATAGGGTGGCTCAAACCCCCTGTATATTATTGCGTTTTAGCTTTTTTCAGATCATTTTACATAACCTAAAAATATGAATAAATAAAATTTCGATAGTTGTCAGAGATATTTAAAATAAATCAAAAATATTCTTTTTTCAGCCTTCTTACAAATTAAAAGATACAAGAACTGCCCTGAAATCAAGATTGTTTTAGGTATTTACTAGATGGTCTGTACTTACTTTTGTTATAAATATGAAAATCGTATACCAGGATGTTCAAAATTCTACATAAACTTTCTAAAATATAAAATAATTTTTTCTTCATTTTTTTAAATGGAACACCCTGTATATTATTTTTCAATAGATGGAGAATTAAAAAATGAACCTTTTTTGATTATATTCAAAAATTTTAACGGTTTCGCAGATATTTGCGGTTTTATATTTCATATGGCATTTTCCACAGTAAATTTTTATCAAAGCCACCCAATGATTTTTCTCTCGTATTTTACCATTGACAGCGCCATATGAAATAATACTGCCTGTATCTGCGAAACCGTTAAAAATTTTGAAATACTCTAAATACAAAAAATGTTCATTTTTTAACTTTCGATCTAATAAAAAAATAATATACAGGGTGTTCCATTCAAACATCCATATTGAACATCCTGTATGATTTACGATTACCATATTTATAGCAAAGTAAGAACAGACAATCTAAAGTAAATACCTAATATATTTTTGATTTCAGAACAGTTCCTGTATTTTTAATATTTTTTTTAAGAAGGGCTGAAAAATATATATTTTTGATTTATTTTTTAATATCTCTGAAACTATCGAAATATATTTATTCATATCTTAGGGTTATGTAAAGTGATCTGAAAGGAAGCCCAAAATGCAATAATATACAGGGTGTTCCATTTAAAAAAATTATCCAGGTCCACTGACACTTTTTGAGCCACCCTATAGAAGTTTACATATTTTCCTGAAATACATCCTGGTACATACTTTAGGTTTGTACTTAAACAAAATTCTCAAGTTTTTTATTCTAGGGCTACAGATGCCCGACGCACTATTGCCGGTCCCTGTATATATGTATATAGGTCACTAATTAAATTATTAATTATAGTATATTATTAACTTACCAGAAATACCCGCTGCTAAAGATCTATCTTTAATACTGATTTCACTGATCCCAGAGAACATATAGTAAGCGGTTATACCAAATGTTACAATGAGCATGAGATTTGCTATAAAGGAAAAAGGGACTAGATGTTTCAGTTGCCTTACTTGGCCGCATATCAGCAACGGTACAAATAGAATCAACTTGAAAATGTATTCGTCCCATGTTTCTGTAGACGGGTAGTACACCTTAAAAAACTAAGGGAAAATTTAAAAATTAGTGATATTCAAATAAAATAGAAAAGATAGTATTACAACTTTTGATTTTTAAGTGGCACTCAAGTATTTTTTACTTTATTCGATAGAAAATAACACTCTGGATAGAATGACCTATCATATATCAACTTTGACATTTTCGCATTATGGTTTATTTGAAATTATAACTTGCGGTTTGTAAGGAAAATTTGACTCGAAATACGAAGTTTGTGGTATCAAATTATTCGTAAAAAATGCTTTTTCCAAATATGCTAATGAGCTACCGTGCGTCGTTCCATTTGAAAAAATTGAGATATGATTAAAAATATGATTTTTACATCTTTTAACTGGCCAGAACAAGACACTAAAAACATTAGAGGGTCAAATCTATTTTTCCGAGGCTCCTTGACTAAAAATTAGTTTTTTTAATATAGTCACGGCACTCTAGATTGAAATTCGAAATGCAATTTTTTATTTACCGAGAATGTCAAAAGTTGACATATAATATGTTATTCTATTCAGAATGTCGTTTTCTATCGAATAAAGTAAAAAAATTCCGAGGGTGCCATTTAAAAATCAAAAGTTGTAGTCATTTCCAGTGAAACAGGAAGTGGCCAAAAACCTGAATCAATCCTAATTTATGTCATATACTAACATACCAAATCTCGTTTTTTTATTTGAAAAAATTAAAAAGTTATAGGGGTGAGGCACTTTTGAGACGCACTCAACTTAAAAAAAAACGATATTAGTACTGCTACTGACATTCAACAAAACGGAGAATGCAATAAGATGTACATTATAATATTAACAGACATACCTTTGTTAATGATACTGATATGATTACTAAATACACAGCATCGGCCAAATAATGGATGCAAAATAATCCCCCCTCTACGAAGTACCTGAAACATAATGTTATACCGATTGTCTTTACAAGAGAAAACATTGTTTATAACTGACATTTTGAGAAAAATGCATAAAAAAAATTTGCTTGTTCTATAATTGTTAATACCCTTTATACTTTTCTAAATTTCTATACCGTTTTAGAGAAAATTAAAAAAAAACTTGAAATATAGTTGAATTTTTTCCTAAAAATTCCTAAAAATCAAAAGGCGTTTTTATGGAAATATAACTTCGTTTTCATTCTTTGATTGGTTATTATTTATAGAATTTTAATTAACGTCATATTTTTTGGTGCTTTAAAATGTTAAAGAAGCATACAATTTATTTAATTTAATGTTACGGAAAGGGTTTTGATAGTTATCCGAAAATGTGGTATTTTAATAACAGCAAAGAATATGACGTTAATCAAAATTAATAATAACCATCTATCAAAAAATTAAATTGAATCGATATGACTATATACAAACGCCTTTTGATTTTTAGGAAAAAATTCAACCATATTTTCATATTTTTCTCAATTTTCCCTAAAACAGTATGAAAATTTGAAAAAGTATACGGGAATGACCATTTTAAACCATGCAATTTTTTTATGAAGGAAGCATTTTTCTCACAATATCTATAATAAAAAAAGTTTTCCTCTTGTAAAGACAATCCGGAGATATACTGTAGTTTATTTCGCAAATATCTTGTATAGCAAAAATATAAGTTCTCTATAGCAATGGCAACCAATGATCATTAGCGTAACTTGCAATTCATCCTGGAGTCCCTCCCTCCCCTAGCCCTAGGCTCTCCTGGGTTTGAGCCCAGCCGGGCCTAGGGCTTTTGTTTTAAAAAAATGAATCATTTTAAAAAACACATTTTTTGAATTAAACGCTTACATGAATTTCTCTATCAATAAATTTCATAGACTTGGTTATCAAACCGTGTTCCTGTAGATTACTTAAATACCTACAAATTTAAAAAAATATAAAAACTAACACATTTTTTGAACACAACAAAATAATATTAACTAAACAAAACTAGAAAACGTCATTTTTACTTCATCACAAGCAAATAAAAATTAATACGTAGCCAAGAGACATAATTCAAGATTTCTCTGAGGGGGGCCGCAGCAGTACCTGGAGGGGGTGTCCGACACCCATGGACACCCCTGTAGTTACGCTAATGCCAATGATTTAACCAACATTTAACTTATGAGAAACATTTCCAAATGATTTATTTATTCGTGTGAAAAGCGTTGCGTATAAATAGACTGTACCTCTACGCCACCGAGCACCTTACGAAAATATATATAAAAATACAAATAAAAATAAAAAATACAAATAAAAATAAAAAATACAAATAAAAATAAAAAATACAAATAAAAATAAAAAATACAAATAAAAATAAATCAAAATGATGATGCCTTATTAATTTTAATAGGTAGAAAGACTATTAAGACTATATACATACTTACTTGGCAAACCGTGACCACTTATGTAAGGCTGGCGGACCCAATTTAAAAACTCCCTCAGCTGTATCTGCAAAACCAAGACTGGGCGTTTTCGTTTTTGAGCAAACTTTTTGCGATGCCTTAACCTACAACAATCATTTCTATAACTGGCTCTATTACGTGATATGAATCTTACTACATACCAAAATGTGTATGGCATGAGTGCATATGATTCCCACAAGCAAAGTACCAAAGAGTCCTACTAACAACCCTGCATTCTTGAATGCTCTTGGAATAGCCAAAATTCCAGTTCCCAATGAAGTTTTTACTATGTGCATGAAAGCACCTAAAAAACTAAATAAAAACATGTTTAAATAAGTATTTTAGAATAGCAAACTAAATAAAATACAGGATGTTACTTAATATAGGTAAAAGATTTCTTTGAATTTGTTTGTGGACAATGACTCACTATTGAAACTAAACGGACTTCGATAGTCTTTGTTTATTTTGACTTATACAATATTTCGGTTAGATGGATGACTGACCGTTATACAGAGTGGTCCAAAATGTATTCCGGAAAATCCGGCAGCATATTCTGCAGATAAAAATAAGTAAAAAAGTTCCTATAAATGTATGTCCTAAAATGATTAGTTTCGGAGATACAGGGTGTGGAAGTTTCATTTTTATTTCGATTTTTTCCAAATAATTTCTGATTCCAAATAATTCTGAATTGGTCAATATTTGGATGAAAATTAGTGTCTGACATGAGAAATTTGATTTTGATGTCAATATGACTCCTATTTGTCAGGGGCGCAATAACCTACATGTATTTTAACTGTTTTGAGGAGTAATAACTTTTCGTCCGTACCTGTATAAAACTACTGAATGAAGAAATATACATTTCCATGATTTTCTACGTAAAAAATATCTCTTGGTAAAAATTTGTACGAGCTACATAGTTATTTGACTAAAGAGATAAATTTGAGAACTTTTTTTTTAAATTTATTATAAATTTTACTTCGAAGAAATGATCATAACAGTTCCTTTTGAATTTTTGGTACAAAAACATTTCAAATTTATGATTTCAGTCTAATAACTATTTAGTCAACATGTTTAATTTCTCTGAATAATGACAGGTATTGATAATTTCGATTCGAATTCATCAAAATATTATTCTACTACTCTAATATAATTTATATCAATTAAATGTAATCACAATAGTTTTGTTACTAGGAACCTAATTTTAAAAATTGTATGCACGTGTGTAACAGGATATTTACTTTTATCAAGTAATACATCATTTATTTTACTTAAGTACTGTACACAGTCCAGTAGAAGTTAAATAGTTAGAATAGCAAACTCAAGTACAAATATAAGTACCATCCAAAAATTCAATAGTAAAAATAGAAAATTGACAATCAAAATTAATGACGAATACAAGAGATAGCTTAACCAAAGAATTTCGGACCTCCATTGTCTATTTATTTTTGCTTGCACAAAGTTTCGGTCAAAAATATCACTGACCGTTATCAACCAAAAAAATACTAAAACTAGTGCAACTAGTACTTTTTGAGAGACACTTTTCAAATGATCTAGCAGCACTGTAACGCTGATCATATTTTAGACAAATGGAGCAGGTATCTTTATGTAAAAATCCAAATTTAAAAAAAAATCCTATCACCGGTTCTCCATAATTATTAATCTATTAAAAAAGGCCACATGTCATTGTGTCAGCCATTTTTAAAATCAGATAAAATGGACAAAATTAAGTGCTCTAAATTATGTAACATCCTGTATATATCATATTAGACGTTTACCCGTTTGGATGTTGTAAGTCTCTGTTTTGATATGGGTCATATACTTCTTCAATACGTAATTCAGAGATTTTGGCACTGATTACTTTGTGGTCATCATGCACCAATGTTGTCCTGAAGAAAGAAATACAGGGTGTTCCTTAATGGCATACTAAGTTTAAAGATTTCCAGGATTGCTGTGTTTTTTGGAAAAAACGGATTTTTTTGAAAATCATTTTTATTTTTTCCTGTTTTTAGAAAATTAAAAAAATAATTGGATATTCTCATAGCCACTTTATTAGGGATATCTGATAGTATTTTTAGAGTTTCAAATTAGTTGATAATTTGTGAGATACAGAGACTAACTTAATTTTTTTAAATACGGACCTGCACTTTTTATTTCTGGTTTTGAAAGAACTTGTTCTTCTGAGTACAATGATATATACTTTATACTTTTTGTTTGTTTTGGGTACCTTAACATCAACAAAATTATTTAATTATTATTTAAAATAATTTCAAGTCCGACTCTGGCTTTTAAATTATTTAATCTGATTATATTCATCGCAACAATATTGATCAGCGCTAATTAACATTGAATAAGGAAAATTGAGCCAATTGAAAGATTCAAATAAATAATATCCAGATCAGCAATTTAAACATATTACTTTTAACTTTTTTTATCGAATTTGAAATCTTAGTGTGCGATCTAATACGTTGCATAATATTAGTCGTAGTTATTATGAATAAATTAACTTCTACAAACTAGTTTCTAATGCTCTACAAATAGTCTAAATATTCTAAAGGGTTACCACCACTCCCTATTGCACAAATTTATTTTTCGTTCAATTTTATTTATAGCTCTTTGAACAGATCTTCTTCTTATACTTCCGAATAAATTTTGTACTCCTTATTGTAAATGCTGAGATGTGTTGATTTCACTTTTACAAATGACGTCAAGTAATGCGACAGGTCCAGAAACCTCGCTGGCCATTATACTGCTCTACCATTTCCAATCCATCTTCCGGAGAAATTATTTTATTGTTTATATTACATTATATTTATATTATTTTTTATTATTTCATTGCATTCAATTTTCCCTATTCAGCCCATGTTATTGTTAAGTTTGAAAGCTTATCAATATTGTAACGATGAATATATTAAATATTAAAAAAAACAGAGCCGGACTTGAAATTAGTTTAAATAAATTGTGTCCAAATTTTACAAACAAAAAAAAATAAGTGTGGCATATTGTGATAAAAAAGCACGTCCGTAAAAAAATTAAGTTAGCCTCTGTATCTCACAAATTGTCAGCTAATTTGAAATTATAAAAATTCTATCAGATAGCCCTAATAAAGTGGTTATGAGAATGTGCAATTAGTTTTTTAATTTTCTAAAAAGTAACGACAGGAAAAAATAAAATTGATTTTCAAAAGATCCGTTTTTGCAAAAAACTCAGCAAAACCTTCAAATTTTTAAAACTTTTATGATGGTATATTGGTGAACATCCCAAAGCGCAACTTTGCCCCAATTTAACCATGTTCGTATCTATAAGGTTACCAAGAGACCAATACTCGTACCTCGAATTTGTAGCACGCTGTATATTAACAAAAAATAGTTTAAATTTTTAATGCTTATAAAAAATTATGATAAATAATAACAACTTAATATATTTTAATTTTTTGACTTACGTGGAACTAAAACAGCTAATTGACGCTGTCGAACCATTCTTCTCTTCTGCCATTATCAACTTTCTAATTTGTCTGCAAATAAGTTAAACTTTCTGTTCACTGTTTTACCACAGATTATCACCAAATGCAATTAATATTACAATAGGGAACTACTAACACCTATGTACATACACACGCATAAAAGTAATTTTATCACTGATATACAAAAAATCTTTAAGCACCCAGATTGTTGATAACGCATTGACTAAGCTTCTTAGACTAGAGAAGAAAAATACTTGAGTTGTATAACAAAAGTGGCAAAAAAACCAGTTTTACCATCATAGACCTCAATTTTGTATTAGGCAATGGATTCACCAATTTCATTTCATTGTCAAAGTGCTCGCTTAGAAATAGTTAAAATATAGTTAACATATTTAAGTAATTTTTAATATGCCTTTTTCGAGACATTTTTGATGGTTGGTCAAGTCTGATATTCGATTACAAATATGAAATATTTTACATTTTATTAGCTGAAGCTTCTATAATAAAAAAACTTACAAAATGTGTTTAAGTGCAAACCTAAAGTACATATGTACTAGGATGTATCTCAGGAAAATATTTTAACTTCTACAGTCTACAGGGTGGCTCAAAAAAGTGCAAGTGTATCGGGATGTTTTTTTATAAAACGGAACACCCTGTATATTATTGCATTTTTGTCTTCTTTTCTGATCACTTTACATAATCTTAAATATTTAAACTATGTTTAAATAATTTCAGAGGTATTAATAAATAAATGAAAATAGTTATTTTTGTATCTAGTGGGCGAAGTGAGTACTTTAGTGATCGATACTTGAATTTCTTAACGAGGCGTAGCCGAGTTGAAAAATTAGTCGAGATCACCAATATAGTTCGCGCACGAGTTGCAAACAACATTTTTTCTACAAACATTAAAATCGAGATATCCCTAAAATTATGATTATTATAAAAAAAAACTTCGACAGTGGCCGAGGGATACGTCGAGGATTCAAATTTCAATAAAAATTCAATATCAACAATAAAATTCAAATATGAAATAAAATTTTAGAGTGTCAAATACCGGGATCAAGTACCTCTACATCAAAATTGGATAGTGTCTCAAGTTCCAAAACCCCCATATCTCAAGCAAAATCAGAACTATCTAGTTTGGGATTAAATATTGGTTCGTGTACTGGTTGTACTATTAATGTTAATATTGTAAATATTAACTAGAATATGCATTAGTGTTAAGTTTGATATTTGTTATTTGTTTATTCTTGAATATTTCGAAATAAATAATTAACATTCTTCATTTAACAAAAATCAAAATTCCAAAATCCCATATAATTTACACGCAGTGTGCGAAATAGGCATTTCGCGCATTACTTCGCGCACCGTGTCATGGTAACGTAGGGAAATGAAAAAAAGTGTCACTTCGCACATTGCTATCAATTCGCGAACCTTGTCATTTTTCGATATTAAAAATACAAAAAATGTCGTGAAATCAAAACTATACTAGGTATTTACTATAGTTGGTCTGAACTTCCCGTTGCGATAAATATCGTAATTTTAAACCATACAGGGTGTTCAAAATTGTATGCTAAACTTTTTAAAATATAAAATAGTTTTCTGTAAATACAAAAAATGGACATTTTAAATTAAAAATATCAAAGTTGTATTTTTTTAAATGGAACACCCTGTATATTATTACATTTTTAGTTTCTACAATTAAAATGCGCTGTAGAAGTTGAAATATATTCTAATACATACTTTAGGTCTGCACTTAAATAAAATTCCTTTATTATTATAGCCCGACGCACTATTACCGGACCCTGTATAATATTCTACGTGACATTAAAACAGTTACACAAATATAAGAAAAGGATAATACCTTGTAGAATAATGATGCAAAATATACTCGTACGCCTACTACATAGCGAATGAGCTATTGTTTCCTTCGATTTATCGTTTTCATCTAAACTTCAACTTAACTCTTATCATTATATAGAATAATTGACAAAGGACTACGTATTATAAGGGGTTATGAATAATTATCGCACCTGCTAAAAAGAAATGAAACTGCAAAGTACAAACATTATTTTATTAAAACGTTTTGTAATCCTTTTTAATATGGATGATTTTACAGATTTTTTAATTTATCTTAAAAATAGAATTTTCTTTATAAATACCTAATAATAATTTAATACGCCTGGTATAAAGTATGTTTATGTCACAATGATTATTTACATTTCATAAAATGTATTTAACAAAAGCTTACCAAAGTTGGCAATCTTTTAACAAATATATTGTAACCAAAGTTTCTAGTCAAGTTGGAATGTAATAATTTCTACCGTATGATCGAAAAAAAAAACGGCGTCAGCGATGGCTATGAAATTAAGATCGCTGTCATTTTATACAGGGTGGCGCACCTCATTCGCCTCGGTTGATTAGACGAAAACGGAAAGATGTAGAATCAAAATATTTTATGGGTATATGTGGGGAGGTAATGTGGGCACAATTTAAAATTATTTTGAAATGTTCAGGGTGTTTCAGAACTAAGATCCATACCAAAGTTATATTTTTTCTTATGGAACACCCGGTATTTTATTTCATATTTGGATCCTTGGGCCCAAAAAAAGGTACTTATTATAAGGGTTAAATATGTTTAAAATCTTTGGTTTTTGAGATATTTAAAGATATTTAAATTTGCATGCTACAATAGAATAGATTATTAACATCCTGTACTATTTAGACATCCATTACTATTCAGAATTAGTTCTTATGCTGAGTTTAAAGGTAGAGAAATAGACTTTACAGAAAAATGTTATTCCTTCCTTAAATGTATACAGGGGTATCAAAAATTGCTGGTCTATTTTAATTATTTATTTTACATAAAAACTTCGTTATTTCAAATGCAACACATGTATTTTTTTAAATAAGTCGAAGCAAATTTAAATGCTCTTTCAAACTATATTAGGGTTTCCTATACCTATCTGGCTCAGATTTTGAATAAAAAGCGATTTTTCAATAAAATTGTAATCAAGGTGGCTAGTGTTGTCATGGCAAGTTTCTAGTGGCAGTTAGTAGCTATTTTCAAAATCGAAATTAGTTTATGGACTTATTTAAATTTGTATCAGTTTATTTTTATTTAATTTACCTACAATAGTTTAATAAATAATATGTATTAAATATGTGTACATTATTCTATCAAGAAAAACGAAGAAGTAGTTTATGAATTACTTTAAGATGACTTGTAGATATATGGATTTTCTATAAAATAGCCAATTACGGCAAATTTATTTTATTCACTTCCAACCACAGGTTTCTGCCTAATAGGTTTTTTTATATACCACACTACCAGCTCTGCGATCTGCGCAATAGGCAATAGGACAAAAAGTTTTTCAAAGAAACGCTTATCAGGAAGATTCCTTGGATATCTTTGAGTATAAGAGCCCTTGAGGCCAAGAAGCTAATCAAAAATAATGAATACTTACTTATTAAATTATTGTAGGTAAATTTAAGTAAACTGTTATAAATAATAATGTCCATAAACTAATGTCGACTTTGAAAATAGTTACTAACTGTCACTAGAAAATTGCCATGGCGACACCAGCCATCTGGATTGCGATTTTATTTAAAAATCGCTTTTTATTCAAAATATGAGCTAGATAGGTATGAGAAACCCTAATGTAGTTTGCAAGAGCATTTGAATCTGCTACGATTTATTCAAAAAATACAGGGTGTTGAACGAAGTTTTTATACAAAATATATCCTTAAAATAGATCAGCAACTTTTGATAGCCCTGTATAAATTTAAGGAACCAATACCATTTTTCAGTAAAGTTTATTTCTCTACCTTTAAACTCAGCATTAGAATTAATTCTGAAAAGTAATGTACAGGGTGTTAATAGTCTGTTCTATTGTAGCATGCAAATTTAAATATCTTTAAATATCTCAAAAACTAAAGATGTTAAACATATTTAACCCTTATAATAAATGCCTCTTTTTGGGCCCAAGAATCCAAAAATGAAATAAAATACCGGGTGTTCCATAAGAAAAAATATAACTTTGGTATTGATCTTAGTTCTGAAACACCCTGTATATTTCAAAATAATTTTAAATTGTGCACATTGTCTTCCCACATATACCCATAAAATATTTTGTTTCTACATCTTTCCGTTTTCGTATAATCAACCGAGGCGAATGAGGTGCGCCACCCTGTTTCTAAATTTATATGGGATATGTCAACGATCGTCATTTCCCGGGCAACTGGACGCCGTTTTTTTCGATCATACGGTACCTAATTGTTATACAGGGTGGTTCGAAGAGTCTTCCGGAAACTTCGGCAGCATATTCTGCGGATAAAAATAAGTAAAAAGTTCTTTTTTTAACTTTTTTTATTTTTTTAAATTAATCATAAATTTTTCTTCGAAAGAATACTGATAAAACAGTTTCTGTTGAATTTTTTGAACAAAAACATTTCAAATTTATGATTTCAGTCTAACAATTATTTGTCAACATGTTTAATAATTTATATGACGACAGGTATTGATAATTTCGATTCCAAATATCTTGAGAATCATTACTCCTAGCGATTTTTACCTAGAGAGCTTTTTTTACATAAAAAACGTCGTAAATGTATATTTTTTTACCTAGTAGTTTTATACAGGTACGGACAAAATGTTATTATTCACAAACCAGTTAAAAAAATGTAGGTGGCACCCTTTATAAGTACGAGTCATATTAACACAACAAAATCTAATTTCTTATGTCAAAAAACTCCCAGACACCAATTTTCATCCAAATATTGACGTTAATTTTATTCAGAAATTATTTGCAAAAAATCAAAATAAAAATGAAACTTTTACATCCTGTATCTCCGAAAGTAAGCATTTTAGGACATACATTTATACGAAGTTTTTCCTTATTTTTATCTGCAGAATATGCGGCGAAAGTTTCCGGAATACACTTCGGACCACCCTGTATAATCTGAAATGTTTTTCATTATCACTTTTCGTATAAATCAATAATCAACAACTTACAGCAGGGTTGGCAAAAAAATAAAAAAACAGATTTTTTTTAATTTTCATAGAAAATATTATTTACCTAATTGGGATTTCCAAATAATTTTAAGACTTATTTCCAATTAAAGTCCTATCCTAAATGGCTAAATCTTCGTAACTCGCCCGATATTGATAACATTAACAATTCTACGGCGCGTCATTTTTTTTTCACATGAGTCACCAAGGATATTTTTTCAAACGTCACAAAAGTATTAAATTTTGTCATTTTAACTCATAGGCATAAAAGTTAAGCACTTTTACGCCTAAGCACATAAAAGTACAAAACTGATACTAAACTGCCAGGTATTAGTTTTTATTTGCAATGTTTGAAATTGATTAAAAAATTATTTGTAACGTTTAAAAAAATAGTACTTATGTGCTATTTAGAGCAAAAATGTACTTTTTGTGCCTACCTGTAATGTCGGACTAGCTTTATGTTGGTTCGTCAAACGTACAGCCTAGTCAAAAAAAGTATAATTTTTACTCCAAATAAAACAATACACTATTGTTCAAAAATAGTCCTAAGCCAAGAATGAAATTAGTATTATCTAATGTCAAAATGTAGAGTACTTACTACAGACCGAAATGTCAGTAGAAATTTGGAAAGAACTAGAAGATAAATTAGAGAAGGCAGAAGGTATCTTGATTCAAAAAATTACATAATATAATTATGTAATTATTTTATGATATAGTTTTACATCAGAAGAACTCACAATAGGAATTGACCTCAATCCTCAAATCGGTCCTCACAATAGCAATTGACCTCAAATCCAAGGAGGCAATAGAGAAAGAGGGACATATCCTCTATTATAGATACGGGACAACACCAGTATCAAGTCTAAGGAAAGATCAAGTTAAAGAGGTGGAGAAAATGGAGACAGATCCTCCAGCCTCCACCTCACGGGTTCCTCAGCCGGAGACAAGCTCCTCGACTGTGAAGAACGGCACGGAGGGCGTTTAAAAATAATTCTCTGCCGTTTCGAGGTCTAATGGATTCACACGAAATTACTTCAAAAATATTAAAAAAAGTTATTTGAAATAAGTATATGTATGTGTTGTACAAACCATTTTTTATATAAAATAGTTTTATAACATTTACAATTATTTTTCGATTTATTAAAAGTATTTAAACGTTACAATAGCCAATCTAACATTTTATTTGATGAATAGATATAGGATAATATTATAATAAATCTGTTATCTGTTATAGAAATAGTTTTTATAGTTTTCCAGGACAGATTTTTATTTTAATTTTTTATAGTTATTTTTCGATATATTATAAAGTTTTAAAAAAGTTCTTTGTTTTATTTAAATCACTTAATGATTAAAATAAAAAAAATCACTTGATTTAAATCATGCCAACCCTGATTTACAGTATTGTTTCTAACTTATTTTAAAAGTTTTACTATACATCAACAATAAAATTATAAAAATATAAATTAAATTAAAATAATATCTAATATCTTACAATTATTTAAGATCACACTTATTTTATGAAACAATACACTACTTTTCATTTCTTTTACATTATTTGATATTTTATAAAATTTTTACACCAAGGTTTATAACGGGTGATGCATCGTTTTTGGAAACAGGAAATCCCATGCTAATTTTAAACTGTCCAAATATTGGCAGCAATTCATTTTACAGCAAAGTTATAAATGTTTATATATAAGGTCAGAATACATATGTATATGCAGTTTTGGGCAGGCCAATTTTAATTAATTTCAGAAAAACTGCATCTATTCTTGAATAAAAAGTAAACAGGTAACAATGCAAAACAAGGCAAATGCCAACATACCTTAATATAGATAAATGAAACAAGTTTAGATTGGAAAGTGCCCATAAGGACAATGTAAACACTATTTGGCGCTATTCTTGGAACGGTCGCGACCCAAAGCTTTTGATAATTTCGGAGCGGTTC